TACCTTATTAATTACGTAATTGTCTTGTAAATAACAGATAGAAAAATCAGAATCCTTGAAAGTTTCAATTCAAAAATAAGCACTTTTGATATCCCAAAGTACATTATCAGAGTCTGTGATGCTTTGCAGAAATCGTCGATCCAATAAAGAACATTATCCAAATCAAGAAGCAAACAGTAATAGATTGAGAAGCAAACAGTAATAGACATATATGTTTATCTTTAAAGAAGTCATTTATTGTACAATATAATTTATCAATTAAAGAGTCAAAAAAATGCTTTCTGAATTTAGTAAATATCAGTGTATTTATATGATTAAGTAGATGATTGTATATAGGAATTGCCATACAGTACGCATTTTTTGACTTCATTGCAAGTCTTTGAGTAGGAATGCGTAAGTCATCTCTTTTTCTACCTCTATAAACAAATACCTTGTTTTGTTTAAACATATGGAAATATTTTTAACAAACACTGCCATTTCAAATATGTATAAACATGGGAGTGGCAAAATTTTCAAAGATTTAAATCAAGGTTTACATGAGTCTAAATAACTTGCACCACAAATCGATCTTATACATTTTTTTTTAATCATGAAAACTCTTATCGCGTCCACTGAATTGCCCCACAATATGAGACCATAACGCATCACAGAAGAAACATAATCATGATATGCCGTGATGGCCGATTGTTTTGAAGCAATTTGCCCTATCCTATTTAAAGCATAAATTCGTGTTATCGTATGCGTCGGTATGCGTAGGTGTCGTATGCGTCGGGTCGTTACGTTCCCTCAAATATAGATGAGCGAAGCGATGGCTGACTCATGCGTCTAGCTCGACTACGGATCTGCCAGTGGGGATGAGTCTGCACTGGACTACTTAATTTTGTCCATTTTCTTTTATTATGAATATTGTATAATGATTTTTCAATGAGCATGCAGGAATTCTGATATTGTAATGAAATGTGACTTAATTAGACAATGAAGTCACATTCCATTAGACTTTCTCTGTGTGAAACAAAACAGGGAGAAAAAATCAGCCCTTTCTGAGTTCCTTGTCGATTCTTCTCAGTACAAGATCTCCCGCCTTTGTTTTGCGAACCACTGGCAAAGTTTTCGACTTTCACAGGTACTATGTAACAGCCTAGACTGAATTGATTTTGATAATTATATTAATATAATTCGACGTGTGGATGACAACAAGCTGTATTCAGCGCTCCGCTTTTTCTTGATTCCAGACCTGATCTGGGATCGAGCAACCAATAAATTGGCTCGTCACTAATGTACATATAAACAGCTTCATGATATAAACCATTATAAACCAAACATCGTTCCTTTACACGTAACATAATAAATCACTTAAACTTACGATTTAAATAAATTAAAATTAATTTGAAAGTTAAGTATTATAATTTATAATAAATACGAAACGAAGTCATATTTTTTAATTTTCGATACTCAATTTACTTTTATTATGTCAGAAACAAAATTTGAATGAATATCATAGACATCGCTAGTGACATCTAGTTTGATTTCAAGATCTAATTTTTGTTTTTTAAATACTTCCTCATTCAACCTGATATCTTACACAAACCTTAGTTTAGAAAAGCGAAGTATAGAAGAACTGCTACAAGTACTCTTTTACATTTGTATCTTGGACATGTTTGTTCTCCAGCACTTTTAGCCAAACTTGGAATCATTAGCGATCCTACCTGCGAGTGTGGGATGGATACTGAACATCAAAACCATATCTTTTTTGTTTGTACACGTTACGATTGCACGATCTTCCTTAATGACCTATTGTCCCTCCGTGTTCCTTTACCGATATCAATTGTTTCCTTACTATCCAATATAATCTGTAATCTATAATGATCCATTTATATTCTATCCATTTATAACTGCATAATATCATATATAACTTTAAATACACAATATTAAACTCTAACATATCCTGTATTCTATATTTATTTATTTATTTCATTCGGAAAACTTACAGCTATAATACATGTAATTAATAACGAACTAATATTATATAAAGCCATTAACAAGTTTTCACAAATAGCCAACCAATGAGAAAAATTTATACTACTTGTACTAATTATATAAAATGCTAAAATATTAATTTTCGTCACAAATTTTTCCTTTTTTTTAAGTAAAATATGACTTCGCTAATAAGCGCCTCATAAATAATAAAATTGTATAAATATATCTTCCTTCTTCTAATTCGTTAGCCTTTGAACCAATCCCATAAAAAATCCGTTCCAACTTCTATTTCTTTTCGTTTCCGTTTCTCAAACTTAACTGGCTAAGCACAAACAGTGCAAGCCAATTAAAAAAATATATACTTTACTCTTTGGTGACAATAAGGCAATATCCAAAGAGTATTATTATATATTTATGGCAATATCCCATCCAATTACCTTTGACACTGTCAAAAATACAAACCGTGTGATGGCAAAACAAGATAAAAATAATACCTTCCAAGTCTGCGTCATGCATTGAGTTAACATTATTAAAAAGATCTTAAAGGGCACTGATATTTTACGAATAAAAACACGTAGCAATTCCTATTCCCGAAAATGCAGAAGAAAGCTATTAAAATATAAAAAGTTTAAAAATAAATTATTTAATTAATAACATGGGAAAAAAAATGATTGTTTCATTTACATTTTTTTTCCTTTTTGTTTTAATACAACAATAATAATAAGTCTAGCTTATTTCTATTATTTAATGCACAACTCAATTAACAACTCATATTCTAATTGTACTTTTTCGTATTTGTATTGATATCTAATTTTCGAACTTTGCAAATTTCATCGTTATCACTGGCTTCCAGTAAGCAATTTTTCGAAGTCGGTCGTCTGATACTACTAAGTCTGTGGTGTCAGTGATGCCAACTTAGGGTAATTTACCCTAGATTTAGAGAAAAATTGATTCTACAGGGTAATTTTCAGGGTATGAATGTTTCGAGGGTATTTTTTGGGGTAATTTATTTTCCGCGGGTATTTGTTAGGGTAATAACAGGTGAAAGCTTGAAAGCTTTAACGTTTAATAGCATACTATTTAATCAACTGCCAAAGACATAAAAACTCTCAGTTTGGTGTTTTTGAATGCAACAATAATGTAGTAATTAGTATTTAATTTTTTTTACCTGTCTTTATTTCGATTGTGTCTGTTGTCTGTAGCCTAAATGTGGTTGGAGCTTGTTGAGTATGTACTCTGTGGTCGTTTGTTATGAAAGCTTGTGTGAACAAGGTGTGAAAGGTAGTTTCTTACTTACTCTATATGTAGTTGTGAAAAATGGCATCAACGAGTGAGCCTAATAAACTAAAAGCTAAATATTTTCAACTGAATTGTAGCTGAACCTCAATCGAAACACGAAATTTTTAACACGCAACGAATACAGAACCGAAAAGCGGCGTCAAAAATTAAGATTTTTGTAGGTACTAAAAATTAACGTGATTTTGATGTGTGTGTGTGGGGGGGGGAGGATTATAATCTTTGGAATTTGCAATGCAAGAAAACAATTTTAATCGCCTATAAAAAGCGAGTTGTCAATCCGGAGGTCAACTAGCTCTCTAAAGGTGGGTGATTTTTATAGGAATTAGTTTAGGGTATTTTTTTCAAAAATATGCTTAATCTAGGGTAAACCGAGACAAAGTCTAGGGTAAGGCAAAAAAATGTCGATTCACTTGAAAAAAACGATTTCTGTTTCGATTTGAATCGAATATACTAGAATCGATTCTCAAACAAATTGAGCATTAAAAGATCAATTTTAGATTAATCGCGAATTTGTCAATCAAACATGCTATATATAGACACAGAGCATTATTGATGATAATTCACCAATAATACAAGTAATGTAGGAATTGTAGGAGACCAAACAGGCAATCTGTCTTTTGTTTAATCTGAATAAGTCTGTCATAAAAATAAATTAATCAAATAGAAAGAAGAAGAATATCATACCAAACGTCAAAATTCATTTGAATATTTCCCGCTCTTGTAACTTTAGGAATGTCCGCAACTTTGTGCCATGTTTTATTTTTTTGTTCCTAGTGGGGCGATGTGTTTCTGATTCCACGGGCTGGAGTAACAATGTCAGTAGTGACAACTATATTATAGTGACATTCGGATGCGTTAATAAATATTAATGCATTAAGCGTTCAAATTGTCAATGCGTCCGACAATAGCAAAATATTAAAAAAACCAAAAATATTACGTATCCAATTCAGGATTGTTATATTGCTGGTTCTTGAATTGAATTGAATCGGTCTGATTTTAGGGTTTCATGAATCAATCAAGAATCGCTGTGGCATTCCAAATCGATTATTTTACTCTACATAATAGAAATTTACGATTAATCGATTTCAGATCTACGTGCCTAGTCTGGTCATCATGTTTTGGTAATATTATATTTCTCTATGTTGTGTCTCTAATCTCCATGTCATCATACCTACTAAGGGTATGTTCCGATATACACTGCGAGCACTGCGCAGTGGTCTTACTGCTGAAAAATCCGTTCCGTTATGGACTGCCAGTACACTGCTACAGTACCCTAGGGAAATTTATGACGTCATTAATTGCCGCCATATTTGTACTGTGAGCACTGGAGATTTCGAGGTAAGGTGCTCGCAGTGAAGTAAAAAAAATCAGAAACTGAATCAGAAAATGATAAGTTTCTAAATAAACAAAAAAAAACTTATGTTTATTATAAGATGGATTTAATTGATAAATATTTTTTTTTATACACAATTTTATAATATTTTCTTTTGAAAAGAGGGAATCTATATTTATATTCACCTTGCATTAACAAATTTGAAAATGGCGCCAAAAAATAGGATTAACAGTATACTGGACTGCGTTCCGATTTAAAAAGTCAACAGTATAACTAGCTATAAATGAACGGGCTTCCAGTATACTAAATTGACGTCATACTGTTCAGTGGTCGCAGTGTATATCGGAACATACCCTAAGTCTGTGAGTCTGTGGTCGTCATGCTGTAGTGTGTCAGTGTATGTGTTTGTGTCTTAGATCAAAGAAAGAAAGTACTTTTTTCAGTTTTCATTTAGAAACTTAAATAAGGTCACAATTGTTATGATATTAAGTTCGACCCATCAAAGCCTTTAAATATTTGAAGGAGTTATTAGTAAAAGTGGTATTAATTATTAAAGGAGTGGCCGAGTTATTATTGAATACGGCTGTTGTCAAGAAATAACAGAATGTCCATGACATATTATGACTATTACGATGGAAGTAAAATATTTCAATTCCTGTCCAGTAGAATTGGTCTTCCTATAGATCTAGTAAGTATATTATAATGTTTAAATCTCTTTGAAGTCTCTTATACATACTTGTTTACAGTTTTAAGTAGAGACCTTTTTACAATAAGGCTTCTTATTTACCACACTGTACCTATTCAGAAGTTTGTCAATTTTACCAGTTTATTCTACTACATACACATATCTAATTACCTATTTTATATGTGTTATTACTATATTTATAAGTTTTGTTTTATTAATTAGCTGAGAAGGTCAAGAAATTTTTTTTGGTAATTTATGATTATCAATGTTGTTATTTTCTTATACTGAGCCCAATTATGTGTCTATCGTACACCTACCTATACATAATACATGTTCATTATGATTCATTTTGTAATCTATATTACAAAATGAATCATAATGAACATGTATTATTTAAACAAGTATTGAATTCAGTAATCAAGTACCTTGTCTTACCTAGTCTTAATAAGTATATTTAAGTAAATATTATTGAATTCAACATTTGAACTATTACTTTCACATTAAAGCTTGCAAGCTTATTTAATGATATTCTGGTGGATATTTTTTATTTAAAATGCTACTTCCACTGTTATTGAAGTTGAATTCAAAATGAATTAGTTTATTTACAGTAGTGCAATGTGGTATAGGTGCCTATACCATAAAAAAGAAGTTTACTGATTTAAAAAAAATGTATGTTCTCCATGACAATCAGTCCTGATTCCCTGCAATTTTTTAAGGTGCATGGTAACAATTCTGCAAAAAACTATCATTCTAATATAAATAAATGTGTATTAATTACATGGAGAGAAATATTGAAATAATCCAGTATGAGCAAAATCTTATTTAATATTAGTTGGAAGCTCAGTCAGTGTCAAAGAGTCCTCCTAGATGAATTACAAACAAATTGAAATTACAAGCCTCTACATATCACCCTCATTTTTTTCTGGGTCTTTTTATGCCACCCCCTCCCCCCTCCCCCTGTAGGCCTGCAGCACCCACAAGAGAGTGTTATCGCCCTCATTGGGAAAAGCTGGTCTTAAGTCTAATTAATGTATTCTCAAGTATTCTCTAACCGAGATAGACTTAGGGCCTCTTGCTAGATTGTACAATGTCAGATTTCTTTCGTGCATTTAATCTAATGTTTTCAACTCCACAGACTCATTACCCCTATCGTTCAGAGAAGTGCTTGTAATAAAACAATAGTCAATATCTGTTGTAGCTCATTGTTTGTCAGTTCCAGGGCGCGCAATTTTCCAGCGACTTTACGTTGACCTTGACTAGTCTCAAGCTATGACAATACCTAGAATGGTTCCATTGGTGTAGTGTTCATTTTATCAAGATAACACACAATCACAAAATATGAATGAGTTCAGAAAATTGACAATAAACTAGTCATAGCCATTTTTTTCTCTCTCAATACCTTAAGTTGAAATTCATAATATAACATCAAACTATGCTTATAATGCTTAATTCTAAAAATAATTACAAAACAGAAAATAGGGGTAGTTCAAATTATTTGCCCCAAAGTGTATTTTTTTCTAACTTCTAATTGTGTAGTTAATTGTTATTTAGTATAACTGAATCTTAAACTATAAACCAAAGTATCAGTAAATAATATTTTTCTGTCTTTCAGTTATAGTGCAGTTGGTAGTGATTCCATGAGTTGCAAGATGATCATTCCCATCATAGATATTAATCCTAAATACATTGACCTACCTGTGTTTTATCTGCATCCTGGAAAAATGCTCATATTAAAAAAAACGAATCGAAACACGTTTTGTGAATATCGTCCCATATCCATTCTGCCTTTATTTCAAAAGACCATCCCGCCAGCTAACTGCTTTCTTCAACCAAAACCTACTTCTTAATCCAATGATGTATAAAAAATATAAATATAAAGCCTTTCTGCTTATTTAAACGATGCACCAATTACACAGTGAGAGAGAAAAATAACATTTCATACGTAAATACTGTACTTTTTTATTTAATTATAAATATCTAGTGTTTTATTTTGATTCGGCTGTTGTTACGTTGTTGCATCTCAAGCACTTCCGCCAATGAGGATGCATCGGTTGACATCTAAAGCAAATAATATTTTTATCTCATTCTAAAAAGAGGTATGCTGTATAATTCTAATAGTTATATCATTTTCTTCACGCGTAAAGTTTACGCTAATGTTGTATGACGCGTCTAATAATAAAACGTCAATGTTTTAATCACTTTCAATCTGGCTTCCGTACTGTTTACAGCACTTCTACTGCACTGGTAACAATGATAACAGATGACATTGACGTATGGAGCTAACGCTGTTAACGTTACTCGACTTCAGTAGCGCATTCAACTCGAATCGACTTCGATATCCTCTTAACATATCATCAGCAGCAATGATATGGTTTCAAAGTTAGGTCTTCGGCAACGCATCCGGGGTGAATACGATCTCCTCTTATTGCAAAATAATGCCGTAGTTCCACAGCGTAGCGTGATATCTCCTATTCTCTTCATCATCATCATCATCATCAGCCCTTTTATTTATTCTCTTCACTATGTTTATAAATTCTATTACACGATTATTTTCTACTTTCTATCACCTTTTCGTTGATCATCTTCAAGTCGTTGATGAATTCTGACCTCTAAGATCTTTAATTGAAGTAAATTTTTCGGTCTTAATTCAACCCTTCGAAGACTCAAACAGTCCTCATTTTATTTCGAGGATTGGTTTTATTTGCCTTCCGTTATATTTTACGGCACCATCATACCTTATTCAAAATCTATCAGATACCTTGGTGTGATTTGTTCAGGAAACCTCATCTAGATTCGCCTAGAATAACATTGTTATTCTAGGCGAACGGCTAGGCTACGCCGTCTGTTGAGTGAGCCGTACGAGCTAACGCTGTTAACGTTACTCGACTTCAGTAGCGCATTCAACTCGAATCGACTTCGATTTCTTCTTAACATATCAGCAGCAATGATATGGTTTCAAAGTTAGGTCTTCGGCAACGCATCCGTGGTGAATATAATCTCCTCCTATTGCAAAATAATAATAATAATATAATATAATAATAATAATTTTTATTTCAGACAAAATTAGGGAATCCATATTTTTTGTTAGTTTTACACAAAATACACTTAAAATCTAGTGTTAGTATCGATTACAATTACTTAGAAACTAATTTTGTGCCAGTAATACATCTCCGGACACAATATACTACAATAGGAGAGTCGTATCGTCCTCCAATGACTTGAAGAATAGAATTGCAGCTGTCACGCACTCTAAAGAGCAACGAAGCACTTTTCTTTCTCATGATAGAGTAGAAATCATCTATCTGCATTTGTGCAAACATACCTGACGCACTGCAGAAACGAGACAGCCCCAACAGTACTCTAAAAGCATCGTTATATTGGATACGCAGTGTATTGAGAGCGCGCTGACTATAATTGGTCCATATGCTGCTCGTATAGAACACTTGACAATAAGCTCGAAAAAGTGTTAATTTGACTGGAATACTACAGTGGGAAAATCTACGAGCCAGCATGTTACAGCGCACTGCCAACGCCCTGCGCTCCCTCTCAATGTCAACCTCGTCTCTAAGGCTATCGATCACGTAATGTCCGAGATATTTAAATCGGTATACACGTTGGAGTTCCGTACCATTCAGACAAATTTTAGGTACATAGGATGGACATTTACTACCGGCAGCCCCAAACACAAGATATTCGCTTTTTTTAACATTGTATATGAGACCATGCGTAACCGCGTAGCGTTCACACATCAGTAAAAGCTCTCTCAACGCCCTCACCGTCGGGCTCAGCAACACCATATCATCAGCGTAACTGATATTATTAACACTTACATCATCAATGCGACACCCAATTTCATGCTGCTGAGCCCAACGATCAGGTCGTTGATATACAGATTAAAAAGTTGAGGACAGGACAAACCACCCTGCCTCACCCCACACTCCAACTTGAATGAGTCTGAAAGCGCGTTACCCCATCTCACATTATTCTCCTGATTATAGTACCAATATTGTAAGATCCGTAACAATTCCGCCGGTACACCGATGTCCCTTAACTTAGTCCACAGCACATCGTACGATACGAGGTCTAAAGCACGAGACAGGTCAAGAAAACAGGCGTAGATAGGAGTCCTTCTTTTGGTATAATAATGCACCGTGTGCTTTAAAGCTAGGATTGCATTCTCTGTCGAAAGACCTGACCGAAAGCCAAACTGAGCATCATGTATGTGTAAATACTTATTAAGACGACAATCCAACAAACTATCCAGTACCTTGGCCATAATCGTGGCCAGCGAGATGGGTCTATAGTTACCTTTGTCGCTCGTATCTCCGGTTTTGTTTCTAACAATAGGTACAACTACTGTACGCATGCGTTCACTGGGAAAGTAGGAATGACACATGCAAAGAGACAACAACATAGCCAAGACCCTAGCCAAGTGAGGACCTGCGTGTTGCAAATGCTCGATGCTGAGACCGTCGTGACCCGGTGATTTACCTTTTGACATTCGTTTTATCACGTCACGCACTTGCTTAAGAGTGAAACGAATGAGATCAGTATCACAACAGGCCCCATCATCGATCATCCCCAGCGACGCACCTAAGGACGATTCGGACTTAAAATGAGTCACAAACATGTTTGCAATCGACACCGGTTCATCAACACCCCCTACACTAACTGGCAGGCCAGGCTTAATATTGAATTTGTTGGTGGCCATCCAAAATTTCTTAAAATTATTGTTTTTATGATGAGCTGCCATAATGTCTGACTTTATTTTTTCCTGATGTCTCTGACACCATTTCAGTTTGTTTTTAAATATTTTACGACTTAAAGACATTTCGTTGTACACGGGTCCAGATGTTGGTTTATTATAGGAGAGCCAGATCTGATATTTAAGCCTGGCCTGTCTGTGAGCCTCACGTACGTATTTATTCCAGCCCGTTATCTGTATAATAAACTCTTCACTGTGTTTATAAATTCTATTACACGATTATTTTCTACTTTCTATCACCTTTTCGTTGATGATCTTCAAGTCGTTGATGAATTCTGACCTCTAAGATCTTTAATTGAAGTAAATTTTCCGGTCTTAATGTCAACCCTTCGAAGATTCAAACAGTCCTCATTTTGTTTCGAGGATTGGTTTTATTTGCCTTCCGTTATATTTTACGGCACCATCATACCTTATTCAAAATCTATCAGATACCTTGGTGTGATTTGTTTAGGAAACCTCATCTAGATTCGCCTAGGCTAACAATGTTATCCTAGGCGAACGGCTAGGCTACGCCGGCTAGGCTACGCCGTCTGTTGAGTGAGCCGTACGCCCACACACACACTATAATTGTCCTGGCACAGTTTGTGCCAGCTCTTGCTTTCGGCTCTTGACTACGATGATTTTTGCTACACTGATTTGTCGGAAATACTTCTTAACAAGCCAAATCATCTGAAGAATATGTGTATCAGATTCATGTTCGTAACTATTACCACGTGTCATAATTCCCCTCCAAACAAAACTGACTCCCTAATTGCCGGCCCAGAAACTTTCTTCTACCCTCGACACCTCCTTATCTAAAAAAAATGATTTTATTTTCAAGCCTCCTTTTCACAGTGTACTCTATGCTCGTCTATTAACTTGACAACCTTTGGTAATACTGATCATACTACCGATTTCTTCTACTCTTTTTCCGTGCACGGTAGGGTAGCCTATCCATGTATGGGAAAAAAATAATTTCTAAATACGGTTACGCAAGAGGTGTCAAAAGTTGAGTGTTGACATATTACGATGATCTTAAAATTTAATAAGATATCTAGACCGGTTCCTTTTTAGGAGTTCCTAACATAAACTAATAAAAATAAAGTTTAAATGGTTTTAAATAAATTTACGGGTACGATAATGAGTTTTTTTTTTATTATTATTTTTTTTTTTTTATTCAACAAAACGAATACAATAATTTAATATATCAGAACGGTACAACATAAACTTACAATGAAAGTACGTGCTATATTTATTATAAATAAATAAGTTTAGGTAACCGAAACATTACTTTCCCTACATAATTACGCATGCATTAGTAGTTATTAATTTATATTTGAAAAGTTATATAGTCGTTATCAGTTGTTCAATGAAATATTGTTTAATTTTAGTTTTAATGTTTTTTGACTTTAATGTAATTTTTATATTATTTGGGATGTGATTCAAAAGGGCGGGTACTTGATACTTTAGCATAAATTTTCCATACATATTTCTGTAATTTGGTACTATACGCTTTGGCCTTAACGCTTGACGAGTGGCCTTTGTATATGTGCGAGCAACTAAGAGTTCGTCTTTATTATAATTTTCCACTATCATCAAATATTTTACTTATTTATAACAAATATATATAATAAATCAATGTTTAAAATACTTGGAAGACAAGTAACGAGTGGCTATTTTAAAAACTCAACTGGCTCCGCGCGAGATATTAATCTATTCCTAATGGAAACATCCCGAGCTGTAACGTCCATGACGCTTTGAGAAGCCTCCATCACTACTATCACATATCTTTCCACTGCCTGTGTGTGACAGGGGAAGTCAACAACGTGGAGGCTGTGTTCTTTAGCCTTCATTCTAAGGTCATCATTGGAGATGTGTCGCAAAATTGGTGGAAACGATATCTCACACTTGCCAAAATATTATATTAATTTAATCTTTTGCACAGAAATTGAGCTTTGGTGTTTTAAATACTCTGCGAGAGATACTCTTTCTGCTTCTTTGGCCTTTAATATTTTGCGAAATTCAAGTTCTCGAATGTGGTCCCAATAAGCAGGTTACCTCCTCACTATCAGGCAAAAAACAAAAGAGTGCACAATCACTTGAAAAATATGCTTGGCTCCATCTTTAAAGGATGAGTTTTGTCCGATGAGGAACCAAACAGGGGCGTAAACTTTAACCACGTAGTTCATAAGCAGCTGCAAATTATCTGATGGCGAAACAACAACAACCTGGGAAGATCCCAGGTTGGCGGTTCCGGTGGGAACAGGAACCTTCTTTTTTGATTAAAAAAACTTCCGAGTTAGAAGGATCTTTCCCATTCTTCTGTCGTTTCAGTTCATTCTAAATAAATAAAATGAACAAAACTTCAATGAAAGTTTTTTTAAAAATCCATTCCTGACCGGCGTAGCAGTCTCTTCTTGGGTATATCGTCGTGCACAGAACACAGAAAAGAGGTTAGAAGGGCGATCATGCACTCTGTACGAAAACCTAAAATATTAATACAATATGCTTAAAAAATCTACTTCGTCCTTGGCACGCTGAGATGGGATTTGAACCCACTACCTTCCACAATCCGGGTGACTGCTATAACCGCTGAGCTACCCAGGACCTAACAGGCCTGACGAATCTTTCACGCCACGATGCTGAAGCTATTGAAACTGCTTAATACAGCGGAATCCATCCGTGCCACTTTTAGCCGATTCAGCAGCTCCATGACCTAGACTCAGTACTACGAGCCTTATGTGAGTGGTTTATCACCACGATACGATAAACATCTTATGGACGGATGAGGCATTGTTAACACGTGTGGGACTGTTTCTTATGGGGAGAAGTCGAAAGCCGGGTGTATGCAGAGTAGGCACGAAGCTTAGAAGACTTGTCGATAAAAAATTATAACGCTTTTAGTGAAGTGAAAAGTGACATTTCACTAAAAGCGTTATTTAAAAAAAAATTAAACGTGCACGTTTATGTCTGGAAAGAAATGGACTTTATTTTGAACAAATATTAAAATACAGTGATTAGTACATGGTAAACAATTATTTTAATGAACAATTTTAGTTCGGTATTATTTTTAATTGAACATTATTGTAAATACGTAGTTTATTCAATTTTTTTAAATACGTCTTAACGCCATGTAACCTCGGCATAACGTTTATAATTTTTTAGGTGACTAATTTATTTTTCTTTTATTTTCTGCATTTTGATGGCTTTTGGCATAAAAATATATAAATTCTAATTCGAATCTAACAAAAAAAATAATTTAAAGAAACACAAAAAACCCGACTGCGTAAAAACGAATTAAAAAAAAACATGAAAAAATAACTTAAATAAAAACTAAAAAGAAAGAAACAAGCTCAGTATTTAAGAATTCTGTTAAGTAATACAGAACAGAACAACTCACAGTCGGGGCCCATTCAAATTTTACCAAACAAATCTTCCTTTACGTATAAAGGCCACTAACATGACATTGGCGGATTTGTGTAAACGCAAATAGCCCATACATTACAATACAAATATACGATTTCCGTTATTTCTTTGTTCTAGACTTTAAAACGAAACGGTTTTCCATATTTGGTTATTTTCCTTTTGCCCAGAGGAGAAGAGCGGAATTATGCGGTGCGAAGTGATGCTAGAAACTTAGACTTACTACTAGAAGGGTGGGTAGACCTCCACTAAGAGGCTTTAAACGGGCAATATTTTTCCGCAATTAGTGGCTGCACTATCGGTAACTTATGTATTGCCCGGCCATAGCAGAAATATTGTTTGATCTTCCGGCAACCTTTCAAAACATACCGGCTATACCGAAAATGTTTGGCTATATGGCCGGGATATAACTGAAATACTGCACATCCCGGCTTATCTATATTGCAGCCACTAATTGCCAAAAAAATCTTGCTCGTTTAGTAGAACCTTTACTAACGCTCCGCTCAGCATTGCTTTATTCCGCTATGCTCTGCACAGCACCGCTTCGCTCCACCCCGCAGTCCGCGTTGCATGACGAACTCGAGAATCAATAACAGGGCGAGATTGAGATATTATATAGGCCATATATCACTTTCGACCCGCTTTTCGAGTCTCTCGAGCGTCTTATATCGTAGAAAAGTTAGTATGTTAGGACAAAGATACTTAGAATTAGATAAATAGAATAATAAGTTATTCAATAGGTACCATAGTTGTAATCATTTTTAACTCGGAGAAAATATTTTACAGGTTTTATAGTACATCTCACATTTTTGCTTTAGAAGAATCTAGTTGCGAGATTTGCAAGTGTACATTGGACACTTACCTAATGCTATTTATAGTTCATAACTTAGAATAAATTCTATTTAAAATTGACAAACTTGGCTTGCCTTAAAATGATTGAAGTAGGTACCTACTTAATTGTTTTTCTAATTTATTTTTGTTGTTGAGCACAGCTTTGCTTTTATTATAAATTCTTTAGATAACATACATTACACTGGTTGCACATGTTTTTTTTTTATAACATTATTATTTTCTTTCCATTAGGTTAATTTTTTGATCGCACAAATAGCTGCACTATGCCTAGCCAGGCTATTTCGGAAACCATTGAGATTTGCTTCGCCAGAGTTTCGCCATTCCGTGTGCCTTGTTATAGGTTTGATAATGGGATATTTCTGCTTTGGAAAGTAAGTCATTCTCCATTACATTTTGCTTCATCTTCACAGCCGTTTCGTATGATTGTAATCGTTTGCTTAAATATTTGTTTCCGTTCTATTTTTATTTATTGTATAATACGTTCAGAGAATGACTATTATACAATAAACATATTTTATTGTATAATAGCCACTCTCTGAATCTGGGTAGATATATGGGTATATATGCATCAAATTGAGACAAATAGCTTTTAAGTATTAAGTAATTTATCTTAATGGAAGCTAAATGGAATAATATGTTTGAGTTTGATAAGAATCCAGTTATTATAGGTATATTAAACCAAAATCGATAGAAAGAAATATACGTATTATAAGAATCCGTTACTTAAGTGTTTTGTAGCAGTAAATACTTATTATTAACATAAAATAATTCCAAGTTCAATTTGTATGGCGGCATAAAGAGTTTGTTTGTATTTGCAATAAGGCTCTTATGGACAACGACCCTTGATACTCAAATTAAAATACCTTAATGTTTATAAATGCAGTTTGATTGTATAAATAAATTATTTCAACAATCTGTTGCAATAAGAAAAGATAATATAAGTACCAACTTGGAACTGAATAGAAAGCGTTCCCCAATTCATGGTGTATATAATATGCAAATAACAATAGAAAAAAAATCTAATCACACTATCAAATACAAACAAAAGTAGCGGAACTAAAAAACTTAATAAATTAACGAAACAAAATAATATTTCGATTTCGAAAAGAGTAGCACAAAACACTTTATAAGTGGTGTTATCCTATATTTGTTTCACCTGCTGTTCCTAATTTACAATGAAATATGTCTTGCTATTTCCGTAACAATAAGCGAAGACCTGTTATGATAACTTATATAATTGAAAAAATACTAGTAGTAGAGGAGCCTAGAATTTACTCGAGCGTCATTAAGACCTATTGGGTTGCGAAGCTTAGATTAAAAAAAAAAGAAAAAATGTCGAATAATATAAACCTTTTGCTTGAGCTGCTATAGATTTTCAAAAATGTTAAAAAAATACTGTTGCATGCACATACTCGAGCGCTTAGATACTGATATCATCCATGTTCTACCTATTTTTTAAAATTAACATATGGTAATCTGACTGTTTCCATGATGTGGGTGGTCGTCGGTCGGAATTTTATCGAGTAAGTCAGATTTTCTGCAGAGATATTATGTGAACCTAAAAAATTTTGATATAAATGTATAAATATCTTTGATATAATAATCTGACGATGTGACGCAAACTCGTGGCCATTATTCGAATGTGCAAAAAGTCATTTTGAAATACTCAAGCGTGTCAGATTAAGATATATATGGTTCATCTTTATGCCATAGACGTGCTGTTTTATAATCTGACGATTTTATAATTAATTAATTGAAAAGCTCAGGAAATAGCATGCAAATAAAAAGTGTATGTTTTTTTAACTAGAAAATTATTGTAAAATATATTATTTTTTGAGTATTTTTAAATCATCATCTTCGTCGATAGAATAGATACAGGTAGAATAAAGGTAGGTAGACGCTTCTAATATTTACAGGACATGTATTTAAAAAACCTAAAAATAATGATTAAATTAAAAAACAAATATTTAATATATTTACTATACAACAAACGTCATTCTTTTTCTTGTTTCCGGTACGGAATCCTTCGTGCGCGAATCCCACTCGCACTTAGGCGGTTTTTTTACTTTGATTACTTTAATATAATTCGCTAGTGTGTATGTAATTCATTAAAAATATTCATTAAAAAAACGCGTACTTATAAATACTCGTGGAATAGGTTTATAGAAAAAGTGATTTGCCGTAATCGTACTTGCAAAACTCGGTACACGTTTGGCCTAGTACGTTTCATCTCTATCACTGGTTCGTATTTTTTCTATCAGTGGTTCGCAATTTTGAAATGTCAATAAAGGTGATCTCTTGAACAAAATAAATAGTGAAGTGGGTGACTTTAAATAAATTTCAAAAACTCCTTGTTTCGATCTGTAATCGATACAGATACAGTATAATAACAAATTGCATATTCGCGACTGGGTATTAATATAATCCGTATGATCCAATACCTACAATATGGATGCTTATGTACACACATTAACAACGCAAGTGGATCAAGCTTAAAACTTTCATAATAAATTCTTAATACTAATACAATTATACAAAGACAAGATATACCGCGATTCAGACCTACACAGCGTCATTTATCGAAAATGACAATAAGGAATGTATTTAACTCCGATTGTTTTAGTATGTTTATTACGATTTCAAAGTTTGTCAATAGGTAATAACAATAAAAAAATATACCCAACGAAGTTATTTTGGCCCTGTAATTCACGTGACAGGTTAGAAGTTCTTGTCGCACGGCTATTTTTTAAGCAGATGACATACCTAACTAAATGTCCATTTTGGCGGCTTTTAAATCGGCCGTCACAATGAACGGTTCAAATATCATAATGATTCGACTAGAAAACTAAGCGTGAATTTAAATGGCTAGCCGCCCAATTGAACGACTGAACTAACCTGTTGACTGCGACATCGATAAACTCTTTATTTCGTATCCCGTAAGAATTAGTGACCATGAAAGTGAACTTCAATCAATGAGTTCATCTAACTAAATAAAAAAAATATAGCAACTGGCTAGGGATTAGTGATTCATTAAAAATGAGTTACAGAATACCAAAACTGTGCGATGACCGCTTGCCCCAGAGCTCTGTGAACAATTTATTTTGGTTCTCATCAAAAGTTGCCAGAGTTATAGAATATTGCACTCTTTACTACCACTTTAATGTTTTATAAATTAGTAAAACTTATAGGAAGGTAGAACACATCACAATGTAATGCCGCGGAAAATCGGCGCGTTTCTGAAGAAGAATATTTATTTATATGTTATAATATAAAAAAAATGCTTTTTAAAGTAACAAATGTCCAAACATTAATTCTCATTTGAAATTTAACGTTTTCGTCTAAACAAGTGTACAAAGCTGCAAATTATAATAATACTTTTTTTATTCTGCTTCTTTCAGACAGTCAATTCATTTAACAGGTTTACCCATGATGAGTTACACTTTGATAAAAAATATTCCACGGCATCTTACGGGAAAGTAAGTAATTTTAATATCATCTTCGAAGACAGACTAAGTTTCACGCCCCACCTATTATAAATATGATTGCAAGTTCAGACAGGGATTAACAACATTTTTTTTTCATAAGACACGAGATAGCTTGTTTTAACAATTGTATCTTTACAACTTTTATTAGCTCTCAATGTATATATCGCAGCCAACTGGTTGAAACAGCCATACAATAAGATTTTAGACTCCCAATCGAATGACTGTTCAACCATTTGGCTGCAACATGAATTATGTATATTTGTAAGGTTGCCAAATCTTGCAACTGAACTATAAAGTTGTAAACTTTGATCTGACTCTGCTGGAATGATATTGCAGCTGTGAATATTGAAGTATCCTTTATTGTACATACACCATACATTATAATTAGTTTACATAGGTACATTAAATGCTACATTCTGTACAATCGACGGCATTATTACTTAGATCTCGTCCGTTACAGAAAGGACTAACTTAATATTGGGCTATGGTGTCTTAAAGAATCATTGTTACTTACGATATGGTACATCAAATAGAAATACTTATACGTGTAATAAATAATATATACATATGATTTAACAGTTTTATTTCAAATTTATTGAAGTGGGTTTTGTTCTCTTTTCAGCGTAATTCTTGCTACGTCGATATTATATTTGTCGTGTCTACATTTACACCGACAGATATACCACACTGCAGACTATACTTTGGATATAACAGGTAATTAATTATACAATTGTCTGTATTTATCTTGATATAGTATTGATGAAATTCTATTTAGTCCGTCAGCCAGATAATAGGAAAATATTAGTTACGTCTTTTTATGCTTCGATTTAACAAGGAATCGTTTAGATGAAGAGTTTAAAGTACCAAGATGTGACGTCTTACGATATTTCAATAAAATGTATTGCCGTAATAATAAATTACGCTAAAAATAAAAATGCGTGTTTAATATTTTTCAAAAAATATCCCTATAACCTTGCGGGGTAAGCAGATGACCGAACGCCACGAAGGACGCTCCTTACATACATCCTTACATAATTCTTTTCATGCATGATCTGTTGATTTTATAGTTTATAACATACTCCAACAGCATGCGATCGATTTAAAAGTGAAATGTGGTTTCTCATTCATATGTATAAGCTGTTAAGATATAATGTTACATAACATGGTATAAGTACTATGTAGGTTCGTTTTTATAAGGTATATTTGTAAGTACTTCACACTACATCAATAAAATGTGCATTACATTTGAAGAAAATTATGATTTTATTATACCTTTTAGATAAATATTTCACGTTTATTTTCATACTGTAAATTATTCTAACGAATAATATTATACAATTATGTATCGATTTCAGGTCCACTAATGGTAATAACGCAAAGAGTAACTTCTTTGGCATATACATTACAAGACAGCGTTGATAAAAAAGAAATAAATTATAACTCCACAAGCCAAAGTCCAAATGGCTCTTATAAAGTTATATATGAACAGATTCCGTCTCCTCTAGAGTATTTCGCATATACTTTAGCTTTCCAGACGCTAATGTGCGGCCCAGTCGTATTCTATAGCGATTACATCAAGTTTATTGAAGGCGCACGGGTGAGTTGATGTCATCAATTGGCTCTCATAAAAGGGTCATAATAACACGCCTTTAGCAATTTATTATATACTCCCGCGACTGCGCTCTCGTAATACCTTACCCGCGTATGATGTGAACACGTGTTTTGTTGAATAATATTTAATAAAAATAGCATTCCATTCGTGGCTTGTAAGTAATGTAACAATGGATTGCTTAACAATTACGACTTAAAAAACGAATAAACATCGAGGTCGCTTCGCTGTATGATATAATGCCTATTGTAAACAACTTTATTCTGTTTCATAATCCTAAAACTTACCAATGCTACAAATTCATTAAAATTTATCTATTGATGCGATGCATTAACTGTTTTGTAGATTGTGTAGCTTATATTACATTATAATAATGTTTACAAAGATCCTTTATAATAATACTCTGCTCGTATGCATAATACGCCTTTTAAAACCAAGGATTAACAATAAAAGATGAGAAATAGAATTACATTGATCCTTCTTTCAGACTGACCAAGACAAACAAGCAACAGAGCCTTCACCTAGACTGGCAGTAATATACAAGGTGGCAGGATCTCTAGCAGCTGCTCTGCTATACTTAACACTTGCTAATAAATATTCATTATCAGTTCTTGAAGGTACATATATTTTATTACTATTCTATGTACATACATCAGCACGACAGGTTACCACAATATATAATAAAAAGAGGTTTAAAATTATGTGCTGTTGATCGAGTTTCTGAATGTTATCGTATATTTTTATGTTTTTATAAGTGATTTGAGTACTCAAAAGTTTTGTGTTTGCAGTATTCTTTCTTGAATTATCAAGAATTTAATGTGGTAATGTGGTAACGATAATTTGATTCAGTACCAGTATCGAACAAAAGGTGGTATCTGTATGCACTACTGGTGTTCCAAACGCCCCCTCTACCCCCGAAATTCACTTAAATTCTGATAGTATTTGTTGATTTCAGAATTAAATGATCCCACTTCGGAGGTTTCTCGTTCATGGTCTGCTCTATATTTGTTATGGTATGCCCATTTGTGCGTCCTAGTAGTCCGCTGCAAATATTATCACGCATGGTTACTTTCGGAAGCGATATGCAATAATAGCGGAATGGGCTTCAATGGATACGACACTGATGGCAAACCTAAATGGGACAAGATGACGAACATAGATGTTATTGGATTTGAGGTGAAGTAGAATTTTATTTTTATTCGACCTGTAAAATGTTAATATTCAACAAGTAATTGACTTTATATAATTTTCAAATATTTTATTTAAATATATTCTCACTGTGTGACTTGCGAACCTACGGACTGCCTCAGAATTAATAAATAAATGTAGTGTTAGGACTTCACGGCAGTGACTACGGCAGTTTTAGTTTTCACTGTACAAGTGCTTTAGCTACTTAATTTCTAATATTTATTATAGTAGTTGTTTTGACTGCGTAAATTATATAGCCTATGTTTCCCGCGTATGATGCAGCTTCCTAAGATTACCCCCTTACAAACAAACAAAGTTAGAAGCGTTACCTCTTTATAATACATATTAGTATAATATAGTATTAGATTTTTACATAATCCTATTGTTTTTATACACAGCATGGGTATGGTGACGTTTGGGATTTGAATTTTTTTGTGATGTGGTAATAGAAAATTCCAATTTTCGTTACAAGTATTGATGTTTTAAACTTTAGAACCACGGTGGGCAACAGCCGGCCTGCGGGTCGGATAAACACTAATTTATAAAAAACATTGTCGTATTATTTCATGTTTGATATCTATCGCAAAAAAAAATATGAGCACTACAACACTATTTTAAAATATACTACTTTTAAACGCAGCCCGTGAACTAAAGTTAGGCCCACACCATGTCCAAGGTCGGCCATACCTGCTTTAGAGGGTAAGATTTCTCAGTAATAACGTTTTGGGCTTTAATATGCAACATTAAACAAATATGTAATGTAATGTAGTGAAACTATTTTTTATATCGATGATTTTTAATTATTTTGAAATACAAATCGCTTGAAATGAATTTGTTAACAGACGTCACCGTACCCATGCTATTTGAAACGGACTATAGTATACTATTTTTCCTATTTTAATCAATATTATTCCTTTGAACAGTTTGCGCAAAACTTCCGCGCAGCACTCACTAGCTGGAACAAAAACACTAACGCCTGGTTGCGTAACGTCGCGTACGAGCGCGGCGGCGCCGCGTGGCGCACCGCACGCGTGTACGCGCTGTCGGCCGTCTGGCACGGCTTTTATCCCGGATATTATCTCACATTCTTCGCCGGCGGCATATTCACTATCGCCGCTAGGAAGGTCAGTTATCTACACGTAGCTTAACATATTACGTAGCGTCAGCTTACCTACATTCGCTAGCGTATCATCATTGGACTTACATAAGGAACAAGTAGCGAGATAAATTAAATATAATAAAAAAAAAATAGCTCGGTGGCTAGAGGATAAGTTCGTTGTTGTTAAGCAACTTTCGCAAAGGATCGGTCACGGGATGGGGACCAAAAAATGATTATCTCGAGCTACTTCGTGCTTCGGAAGCCACGTTCCGCATTGGGCCAGCGTGGAGGGTCCATGGCCCATCCTCCTTAACCATCCGTAAGGAAGGCCTGAGCCCCTGCAGTGGGGATGTAAAAAGGGCTGGTGATGAATTTAAAAAAAAACCCTGTTCAATCATTTTTTTAACTATGATTAAGCTATTTAACTTTGATATAATAATAATATTTCGAGGCAATAGATATGATGAATATTTTTTCGTAGTACGTATTTTTTAATTTTTTTGAGTAAACAATAAATTACAGCGAAATACATTAAGTTGCAATGTCGCATGACGTAACATTTTGTTTATATTCTACATAGTTGAGTTGTTAGCCCCCATTCCTTAACTTAAAAGCCTATTATCTAACGATTTCTTGTTGAATTGAAGCAAACAAAAATATGTATCTAACATTGAATGAATATTTATTAAACATTAAGTAGTTGGTGTAAAGACAGGGTCGGATTAGCCACGTAGCAAAAGTAGGAAATGCTACGGGGCCGTTTACTACGCCCCTACGCACGTTTGGGGGCCCCACGGAATTAGCCACGCTTCTGACTAGTCATATTTTTAAGTATGAACATAAACTGACATTTAAAAGAGGGGGGGGGGGATTTGCTACCGGCCCCGTTCTGGCTTTATTCGGCACTGTGTAAAAGTAACAATCCAATAAGCTGAGTTTTAAAAATCGAAATGTGCGACAACACCATGTAACATATGGTTATCTTACAGGTGCGATGTGTTGCTCGACCTTTGTTTTTGGATAGCCGACCGAAAAAAATGTTTTATGATTTATTAACTTTTATAACGACACGAGTGGCGATGACATATGCTACAGTGCCTTTTGTATTGCTACACCTGGGACCAAGCTTAGCGTTTTACGGGTAAGTCAGACTATCACTTATACATAAAATAATAATAACAACGCAAGCTATATTTGGATTTCAGAAAATTAGTATCTCAAATATATTAATATTCCTTATTTTTCCTAAAATGGAGGGGAGGCAACCTTGATATATTAATATACTTATCATAGGTACATAATATTCTGAACATTTAATTGCATATGCCGTAGTGTTGATATTATTTTATGCCTCTCTTTTACAGGAAAATGTACTATTCCTTGCACTTCATCGCTTTAGGTGCGTTGCTACTACCTAGCAAACGGATACGTTCTGCAAATTCAACGCCAACTGATCCCAAATTCAAAGAAGTTAATGGTGAATCTGGTACACTGAAGATTTCCTAATTTTAAATAATTGGTTTTAATGAAGACTAATTTTATTTAATTATATTAAGTACGGGTTGTTGGTTCACACTTAGACGAGGCTATTTACTGTTTGTTGTTTCAGTATTGTATTATAATAATATACTTAATATATTCTTGCATGTATCAAAATGAATAATTCTCCACAACCCGAATACTATAGTCACAAAATCTCATTACAAAAGTTTAAGCTAAGAGTACATACAATATTTATGTATAAAATTATATACCCAAAATTATAGGGGACAATGATTGGACTGATGACTTTTTTGTGAAAATATGTACCGTTTTAGAACATTCCATTGTAATTCTTACATCTGACCAGAACAAAATCCTGGAAAAATCCCCAAAGAAATTATGCTGGAGTCTGACAAAGAACTATATGTACTAAATGCTTTCATTAGTTCACTGTTACGTTATTAAAGTGACTGTCTTAAGTGGACCATCTTATAATTAATATAATAAAACATATAATTATATCTTTCAGTTCAGCAGCGCCATGTCCTGATTTTAAATGAATTCTTGACTCATCAAGTCCCTTAATAAATCAGTTACGAATTGGATACAAATAGCGAAGTTTCGTAGTGGCAGAGATAAACGATTCTTAAGTCTTACTTTGGCCATTATTACGGCTATATACCTTTGGTACATATAAGAAGGGGACAAAATAATATCATAAGAACAAAAAATAAACTTTTCCTTTCAGCAATTTACTATGAGTTCGCAAAAATTTGATACATATCCGATATATATATCGGATGACTGAAAAGTGCGACTTTTAAGCTGCTTGTGGCTTTATTTAATGTTTGATAACAAAACTATAAAATAAACCCTATCTTTATTTTACACTTTTAAATCAAAGGTACGAGTTAGTTTTATTTGATTATTTAGTATAAAATAATTAACAAGTAGTATGTGTGTGAGGATTAACATGAGCATAAAATTTTAAGAAAAAAATAAAAATTACCTCTTAGAAGGGCTACGCTTTCATATTACGGGGAAAACCCAAAATTTCTAGTGAGATTGCTATTACGGGCCAATGTTGCCAGCGTCACATCGAGTTGGTTAATTTTCTAACTGAGATTCAATACTCCCTACTCTACTTTCGTATTTCGAAACAGATTGATAAGGGATTTGATGAGTAAAAAAATTAATTTTTAAATTTCAGAGTGTGGCACTGTTTATTATCGGAAGTTATTTATCTTCTGACCGCTTTCTCTAAAATATAAAAATCTGGTTATGCTTTCGCATTAATTTATCAACACAAAAGTTCACTCTTGACATCAAGGCTTCATTGACGAAATATATTTTCAATAAATGCTATTAAACATATTACATTTCTTAACTAAAGGCAATGTGCGATTTATTTAATTTACACACACTGAGAAATGGAAGGGTGTTTGCAAATTTACCGCAAACGTTGACCCTTAAAAGCTGCTTTGTTAAGTTTTCATGCTTCTTAAAACTCGATTTATACTAGCGTAGAAACGGAATGCATAGAAGCGTTAAATTCTTCACAATTCATGTAAACTCGCAACAATACGCGCGCATTCTCCTGAATACGCGCCTATTAAGTTTATTTGCCCATACCTTACGAACTTAATGGTCGTATTTTTTCCAGTTCCAGTTAAAAAAAAATGAGTTTTTTTTATCACTACCAAATATAAATAAATGAATATACTTTATTACAGTTATACAAAACATTTACAAACAAACACAAGGCGGCCTTATTGCTAAGGTAGCAATTCTTCCAGGTTACCCTTGACCAAAGGAAATTACACCAATTAAGGAAACGAATAAGTAGTCTGTTAGTGATAAATGTATATGTACTACATAATTACTTCAAAAACAGAGTATAAAAATATTATATACCAAATATAAAAAGAGGAAAAAAAGACCGTATAATTCAGGAAAAAGAATCCAGCTTGAGGTAATATTGTTTATCTGTTTCGTAAAAGAGACATGATTGTTTGTGCAAGTCTGATATTTACCGGTAGAGTGCCACAATTTAAAAAAAATCTGCGTAGTGGGACGGGATGATTAAGGATAGGTAATGAGGAGAACGTAAATCACGGATAGGATTGGAAGAGTTAAAGACGAAGCGCTCTTTAAGATATAAAGGAGTGTGTGAGTGAAACAAGCTGGAATAAAGGAGTGACAGTTCTATGAGAGATTGGTAGGCCATAAAGCTGGAAACGATATTCAGATATGTGGTCGTACTTACGTAAAACAAATATGAAACGTATACATAAATTCTGGAACCGCTCTAGTTTATTCAGAAGGGCAACGCTTAGGTCAGAGTAACATATCTCGACATAATCAAGCAACGGTAGAAGAAGAAACTGCGCACGAGCAATTTCAGTTTTAGTCGGCAATAGATGCTTAAATCGTTTGAGCGAGTTGTACATGCCAAACATCCACCTACTGACTTCTCAGACATGTTGGCTCGCAAGATAAATTGCAATCAAATATTACACCAACATTTCTAATAGTAACCTGAGATGGTATACGAATGCCATTTAATAAGATTGAAGGTAAAGCTCCCTAATTTATCCTCGCCTGATATGGTTTTCAATAATAATTGCTTGAGTTTCATGACGGTTAACTATTAGACCGTGTCGACGACTACAATCATAAATCTGTATAAGATCAATGTTGGTGATGGCAATTGCTGTACATAGAGAAAAAATGAGAGAAAGGAAGGGTGATTGAATTTTTGAAGATAGAATATAGGAGATGAGTCAAAGCGCTACCCTGTGGAACGCCGGCTGTGTTACACCAGTGTGAAAGATTGTTTTCCACAAAAATGCGCTGCCGCCGCCCAAACAGGATCTCCGAAACTAGTCAATCACCGGTGGACATACATTGAGAGAAACTAAGATAGCCAAAATGAAACGTGATTGTTATGGATTGAATAAGTTGTTCAAGAATAGAAACGGTCTAAACCAGGACTTCTCAAACTTATTTCGTTTATTGCCTACTTTGAGAATAAATTATTTTTTCACGCCCCCATTTGTAACTTTAAATTAAATTAATTATTGTCAGCTACATTAGCGGAGATTCAAAATAAATTTTAAACGAAACTTACTATAACCCACTTGAGACCTTCTACCGACCGTTGAGACCTAAGCGCAGTAGGTAATACACAAGTCTTGTTAATTCTTATTAACCCTTTGTAGCCTCGTGTGACATTTCGGTAACAAACCGCAATAATCCCGATGAAATACGTACTAAACTTCTAAGTTCTTTCAAACCACTGTTACTGCATTGTTACATACCACACGGAACATAAGTATCAAACACAAATCATAGATGGCGTAACTTGTTGATATTAGCGAGTTTGAATTTTGGTGCGTTGCTGTTGGTGTCAAGTCGAAACTCGTCGAAGTTTTGAAATTTATAAAAATATACTAAAAGTGTATGAAATTGTATTGTTTTCGTTAAAATCTATAGGTAAGTGAATGATTTTATTCATTTATTGTTATCAACGCATATTTTTATTTTTTACGTGAAAAATGTGACTTCATATGTTTGTAACATTTCTGTAACATTGAGTGATGATGGAAATATTAATTGTTAATAATATATGTGGATATTGATGTAAAATTATGTCATTTTATTTCAGAATGGGGTCGCGGTCACTGACGGATCAAGATCTATGTGACATATTGCACCAATATGATAGCGAAGACGGATTAGAGGACGATGATGACAGCATTGTTGATCCAGATTTTCTGCCATCATTAGAAGATTTAGAACATTTTTCTGATTGTGAAGAAGATATTGCAGTTGATACAGGTGCAATTATTAGAGAATCTGAACGCAGTGAGCCTATTGCTGGCCCGTTGTCTGCAGATCCTGGACAGCACGGTAGCCATTCAAATACATCTTCCACTAATCTAAAGAGCAAAAAGCGGCAAATACAATGGAAAAAGAAAAACCTAGTTCTAAACGACCAGCAGTTCCGATTTACAGGAAATACTATTTTACCGCCTAATTTACTTGAGCTTGATACGCCAATTCAATTCTTTTTATATTTTTTCCCTAAGGAATTGATAACTTTTATAACTGAACAAACAAATCTCTACATAATTCAAAAAAATCCCAACCAATCCTTTCAAATTACCGAAACTGATATCCAGCAGTTTATTGGTGCAACGTATTTGATGTCATTGATACAATTGCCAAGGGTGACCAGTCATTGGAACACATCTATTGGTACTCCCATGATTCAAGAAATAATGTCAAAACAAAAGTTTGAAAAAATTAGACAGTATATCCATTTCAATGACAATTCTAATTTACCTCCACGTAATGCAACTAACGGTGATAGGCTTTTCAAAATTAGACCTATCGTAGAAACTTTGAATAGGACTTTTAGTGGAGTTCCATTGGAGGCATATCTTTGCGTGGACGAGCAGATTTGCTCCACTAAGGCAAGAAGTAATTTGAAAAGATATAATCCCAAAAAACCACATAAATGGGGTTATAAGATTTTTGTACTAAGTGGGGTTTCAGGTTTTGCCTATAAAATTGAACCTGAAACAGGAGCTGAAAATGTTGTACTCCCCGACGAACCAGATTTAGGACCATCATCAAACGTAGTAGTCAGAATGGCTCGGGGCATACCAAGACATCAGAATTATCAACTTTATTTTGATAATTACTTTACTTCTTTGGCATTAGTGGAGTACTTTGCTAAAGAGGGTGTATTGAGTCTTGGGACAATACGACGTAATCGCATTCCAGATTGCAAACTACCCACTGACAAGGAAGTAATGAAAAAAGAACGCGGATTTTCCGTTGAATATGTGGCGAATGTAGACGGAATTGATGTGTCAAACGTTATATGGAAAGATAACAAAGCAGTGACGCTCGTATCATCTTTTGCTGGTGAATTGCCAAAGACCCAAGTCAGACGTTACGATAAAGCCAAAAAGAAGTACATCAACATTGATCGCCCTCATATCGTCGGAGAATATAACCGGCATATGGGAGGCGTAGATTTGATTGACAGTATTATGGGAAGGTATAAAATTTTGACACGAAGTAAAAGGTGGCAGGTTCGGATGTTCTATCACCTACTAGATCTGACTATGGCAAACTCTTGGCTGTTTTATCGACGAGTAAGGCAGGCAAAAAACTGCAGTGACAAACAAATGTCTTCGGCAGATTTTCGACTTGAAATCGGTGAGACTTTGTGCAAGCTAGGCTTGAAACCCAATATCAAGAACCGAAGGTCACTTGAAAATGAAATTCAGGCCAAAAAACACAAGGGGCCAGCGCAACATGTCCCCCCGTTGGCAGTCCGGCAGGATCAAACTGGGCACTGGCCGATTTGGGTAGAAAAAAGGGTTCGGTGCAAGTTTCCCAAATGTACTGGTGTATCACAAACAATTTGCGAAAAGTGCGGAGTAGCGTTATGTTACAACAAACAAAATAATTGTTTTAGATCCTTCCACACCACATAAGTACATTTTCTTTTAGTTTGATGTATCAATGTTACAGTAATGTTACACTCCCTAAAATGTCAAATAAATAAATAAAAAATTTAAAAATCTGATTTTTGAGAAATACGTGTTTTTTTATTTGTTTGAACCTGTCATATGCCAAAGTAATTTAAAATTTTATGATCTTGGGCTACAAAGGGTTAATTCTAGACAGCGCCCGCATAATTTTTTTTGGGTCTTACCGCTACATTTAAACCTGCAGCGCCCACAAATGGGCGTTATCGCCCATTTTGGCTAAAGCTGGTCTAAACTATTGATGATTAGTTTTTCATGGACTTTTGAGAGGGAAGGCAATATTGAAATAGGACAATAATCGGAAAAGGATTGAGGCTTAGGTTTCTTAGGCACAAGGATTACACGCCAAAGGATAAGGATATCAAGAAGGGGAACAATCATATTACAACTAATGCAATCGCTACCAATAGCGTTAGACGGTAGGGGAGACCGGGGCAAAATGGGATACTTAAGAGAAAAAACGTCATAAGATGAAAATTAAA